CATAATGGAGAAATGGAGGCAGGGACACAGTGTGAGCCCAGCAGGAGCTTGCCTTTATTAAGCATCTCAACCACACATACTCTGATGCCTGCAATATTCACTATCCAGTCCTTGCTATAGAAGACAAAAAGTCAGAATGACAGTCATTAAAAAGGCAAGCAAAACCTCTAAATAAAAACTATCCACTGAATTCTGCAGTTCAGTACTCATGCCTGAAATAAGTATCCAGTGAGAGTCTTGCTGGGCAAAACAATGCCGGGTAAGGGACTGATGAGGGAAAAGATAGAAAACAAAAAAAAAGAGGTGATGAACAGGGACAGTGGAAGAGGAGTTGAGGCAGAGGTCTGAGTTGGAAAATAGGTGTGTGGAAAATGTGTAAAGACAGGGAGAGGTTGAAGATACAACTCTCAAGGGAGTCTGTGGGCTTGGGGATTGGAAAGGTATTAAGGCTGAGAGTAGAATGAGGGAGGGGGAAGCGAGGGAGGGGTCACACGAATGTCTATAAAATAACACCCACCGCCACTGATAACGAGCGTAAGAGAGTCCTTTTTTCATCTTGAGAAAGACAAAGGGAATTTTAAGTAGGATTAAGTAGTTGTAGCTTTCAGAACTCAGCAGCTTTCAGGAGCAATAATAACTACATAAATAGCTAAGTGGATAGTAAGAATTACCTCCTTGGAATTTGGCCAGCATATCAAAAGTTAGCAGTAATATCGCATCTTTCTGAAAGCTTTCCTGAGATTCTAGGGAGGAAATCATCTCAGAAAACTGTTTGAACCGAGTTAATTTTCAGAAGAGGATGCTCCTCACTGCTTGAAGATGCTCTATCTCCCGAAAATTGATAAGACAGAAGCAATGCCCTGCTGGGAAGCACTCCCTTATCCACGTAAATACATAGCCAATATCATCTCCAAAGGAAGCAAATAATTATGCTAGCAGATTACCATCGTCTAATGTAAAATTTTACTCAACACATATAACCCACAAATGATGCTCCAACCGAGCAAAAAGGACCTTGTAGATATCCCGCTTTCACAGAGTTCTTTAACTTTTTGACTCATTGCAGGTGGTTAAAATATTAACTTTTTAAAGCCAAATTTTAAAACAATTTTTAAACACTTGAGAGCTCTACTCATGAATATCCTGTAATATTTTTCTCTTAAGTACACTTGACCACTAACATGCTAGATCATCTTCCTTCCTCTCCTAAAACAGATACGAAAACTGGGTATGATGGTAATTTGGGGTGCAAATGTCTTCTCTCACCATTTGGACACTTTTCATGTGTTACTGTTTTTAAAAAATTAAGTTACAACATTTTAGTATTTATTTGTTCTCTACCCAGAGACAAGTTATTTCCGTATCACCCACAATGGAATTTGCATGAAAATCTGTTTACTGACCCAGTTCTCTAAGGGTGCATTTGTCCTAGCACTTGGAGTAAACATCATTTTCACTGCACTAAAAATAGTTCTAATTGGACAAAGTGTTACAATCTTAGCAACACCCAGATAAATCAAAGCAATCTGAAGCAGACATGACACTAAAACTGGATTCTACAACAAACCAGTTCAGTATTTATGCCCAAAATAAGTATCCAGTATATATCATCTAGAAATTAAAGGTACAACCATATACCTCGACTTAACTGGAAAATACAGGTTTAGAGAAACTGGTCATTCTGAAAACAGTCTATTAAAAATTTATGCGACTGGTTAATCACTAATTTTATACCAGTTTTATTATACAGACATAATATATAACATCTATATAATATATATATACATATATACATACATATATCTGAGTTTATGCATGTTATTAACTGGTAGATTTTTACTAACACAGTCTAAACTATAGGATATGAATTATAGAGGACCAAACAACAGCAGAATGAAGCACCGTGTAAAATGTGCCTCACTGAAAACCATGTAAGTTACTCTGTGTATAAATTCTCCTTTCAAACCCTTCTCTAAACTGTCCCCTCTTTATTTCCCGTTATTCCTTAGCCACTAGCCTCCTGGCTGAAAACCATGTAAGTTACTCTGTGTATAAATTCTCCTTTCAAACCCTTCTCTAAACTGTCTCCTCTTTATTTCCCGTTATTCCTTAGCCACTAGCCTCCTGTCCCATAGTCTGGACCTCTTCACTGTTGTCCACATGCCTGCATGGCATGCCCTCATCTGTGCTGTGTCCTGCTGACCACCTTGTCCCTCATCTTGAATGGGCTTTCCCAAATCCTTCTTGTTGCCAAACACTCACCGCCTCCACAAAGCTCCGGATTTTCCAACTTGAGCTTACAGTCACATATTTTCTAAACTCCCTTAATATGTTTGTCCAAACTTAGCAGTTAATCTCAGAATTTTTTCTCTAATGGTGTATATATTTGTGTGCATCTCCTTTCCCCCCGCTAAATCACATTATTCAAAGATAACACAGCTCTCTTCATGCCTAGCCCTAAAGTTTCCATCAAGACTCCAAGTTTACTCTCCCTTCCTCTTGTTATTCCTTTTCTTTTCTCTGAAACATGCTTAAATGTGCCTTACCCTAAAGAAACCTTCTCCCCTGATTCTGTCTCAAGCTTTCCTAGCATATCTACTTGCTTTCTTTGACAAACTTGTTGAACTGGCATCCTTTCCTCCACTTCCCCTGTTCTGTTCTCTCTAAGCCCCTCGCAGTTCAGGTCTACACCCTTATGCCTCAGCCACACCTGTCTGCAGCACTGAGACTGCATGCACCTGTCTTCTCTCCTGCAGACCCAGACAATCTTGATCCCAATTCGCCTCCTTCCCCTGCACCAGTCTTCTCAGTTTCCCTTCCTGGCTCCTCCCCTTGAGTCTTCAGCCATCATTCCTCCTCTTTTCTCAGTCTCCTGTGGCAACTACATCTCTGCCCTTGTCTTTAACTTCCAAGTCTATTTATGATTCCACAATTAGAATTTTTAGTGCACTCTTTGCGGGGTCGCAGAGCCTGTGCTGCCACCTGCTGGGGAGTTCCATGGAGATATCTCAGAACCAAGTTCAAGTTAGACGCCCCCTCATCTACCATTCATTCTACTGTTTTCTCTTTTAACTCATTACATCACCATTTTTCTAGACCTCCTGATAGAGATTTAACATTCAGAACCTCCAGCGCTCAGCACCCCCGCCCCAGCATTAATCACTCAGCACATATATAAACACTAAATCCTGGAGCATCTATCCTGTGGGTTCCGTCCTGAACTCGCCCTGTTCAGGCCATGACCGCTCATCACCAGGACTGTTGACAAGTGCTGTCTGCCTCCTTTTTCTTCCCTGAACCCCAGTCCTCCTCACACTTCTGCCAAAAGAACCTTCTTGAAACAGGTATCTGAGCAATTCTCTGGATGAAAAGCCTCAAGTCATTCTGTCCTCGAGGTAAGATAAAGCCCAATTTCCTCAGCCCTGGAACTTCTAGAAAGGACTTCTAGACCAGGCATGACATGGCTGCAGCATACTCCTTTAGCCTCATGTGCCATCTGTCACTCTCTCACTCACCACACTCAATCACTCCAGCCTCCCTGAACTTTTCTTTCTGTACTTTGAACAAAAAGAGGTTAACTGCTCTAGCTCCTGGAACGCGCTATTGCCATATCTTCACATAGCTGGCAACTTTTTGTCATTTGGGTTTTATCCCAATTGTCACCTCCTCGGTGAAGCATACCGGGACCAATCTAAATGCCGCCCTCCTTCCCATCATACCCGGTCCCTCTTTCACATTTATGTTTTTGCATTTCTTCTAAGCATATCTCAGCATCTGCAAGTGTCTGTTCATTTATCTCTTTACTTATTGAATGTCTGTCTCTTCACACTTGAACATAAGCCCCATGATTGTGGACCTTGTCTCTCTGCACTCTCCCCAGCCCCTGTAAAGATGCCTTGCACAACTGGAGCCTGAAGTGAGCTTCCTCCGCAATGTCACACCTGCGGTATTTTCACATCCTCATCCTCTCTCAGTGTATTTGTCTGTCTCGCATTTAGCATATTACATCTTTCATTTGAACAGCTATTTCCAAAGGAAGAGAGATTAGAGGGAAAGGGGGACATATTGAAATATGGGGTGAGGGGCTCGGCAAAGGAGTGAATGGTTTATAAAATGCACATCCAAGTTTTGTTGTTTTCAATGTAGAGGATTTATGCACTTTTGTTAAAATTATCCCTAATGTTTTATGGGCTTTTTAAAAAACTCCTGCCATAAACGATTTTCTTTAAATTTCATTTTCCACTTGTCAATTTCTTTTTTTTTTTTTCCTTTTGAGACTGGCTGCACCGTGCTCAGCCAGTGAGCGCACCAGCCATCCCTATAGTGACCTTATGTCTGTGACCTTGCTAAATTTACTGCTTAGTCCTAAGTAATTTTTTTAAATTCCATAGGTGTTTCTACATATACAATCACGTTATGTTTTATTCTTACATTCAAAAATGCACATTCTATATCATTATTACTTTTAAACACAAGCTATAGAAAATAAAGAATCAAAAAATCATAGCTGTTCCAGGATAGCTGCTATACAGGATATGGAAAATAATACTATTACATGGGACGTGGATGGGAATAGTTGAAAAGCAGTGCCTTATAGCAACTTATTATGATCCATCATCCTCACTACATTTTGAACTCCTGGAAAGCATTACCATGTCTTGTTTATTTGTCTACATCTCATCACACCTAAAAGTGCTTTTCCCAAATTAGATACTCAGTAAATGTTTCTCAAGCAGAGCTGAAATACTCCAGTGCTACACACATGGTAGATGTCCAATAAATACTTGTTGATTGACTGTAAGTACCAATGAGCAAACCTAAGTTTGTTGAATGATGACTGTATGCTCAGCCCTGCTGAGAAACTATAACAAGAGACATGTGGATATAGAAGATAGCCTCATCACATTTATCAGGTAATGCTAAAACAAATGCACCAAGGAAACTTCATTTATCAGGTAATGCTAAAACAAATGCACCAAGGAAAACATTTAAGTGGCTACCTGTGCATTTCTTCATATGACTGTTCCTTTTTCCATGTGATCCTAACTTGCATCCAAAATTCTCCTCCCAAAATTCTGCAAACCACACATTTCTTCTATTATTGGCAAGAGTTCGACTTCTAAAGTATCGATCAAACCCTATTTTAAGAAAGAAAAGTATGATTTTAATATTCTTTCAAAATCAAAATCAGATACTGTCGGAACTTTTGAATGGATATCACGCTATAATATTGCATTGAAAATATATATAACAAATGAGGGACAGCCAGTAGCCCAGAAATAAGGCTTTCCTTATGGCAAAAGCTGAGAAGGGGCGGTGGACAATATTTCCACCCCCATCACTCAAACACCTGGCTCTAGGGGTGAGCCTAACAGGAGAGTCTATTGTTGGTGTTATCCTTATGACATATCTATATCTCCCGGGGGCAGCAACCAGTGACCTCTTTCTGAATCTTGAATATTCAGAACCCAGCTCAGACTTTTCTAATTCTTTTTGCTCTCTCTTAGCATATAGATCAATGTTCCAGACTTTGCTATGTTTCTACCCATCTTAAAATTGATCTCTCCACCTTAAAACTGATCTCTCCTATGTGTTCCATGATCCAATAAAGCATTCATGCTAATATAATCTTATGGAGTCGTGGGTAAGTGGGCTAAAGTGCCAGTTTTATACACACACACACACACACACACACGGCATATATAAATATGTGTGTGTGTATATATGCTGGGTTAAATAGATATTGTCTCGACAATGCTCATGCTAATATAATCTTATGGAGTCGTGGGTAAGTGGGCTAAAGTGCCAGTTTTATACACACACACACACACACACACACGGCATATATAAATATGTGTGTGTGTATATATGCTGGGTTAAATAGATATTGTCTCGACAATGCTGCTATGAGAGCTAAAAATTCTATCCAGAGTCTAAAAATGGGCAAATTTCATCATATTCTGATACTGCAGTTTGGTCTTTGAGTTTCATTCAACTGAAATGAAACAAATTCTCTATGGTGCCTCCTTACCATCAATTGATGCTCTTTTGGGCAAGATAGTCACAGCCCCTTCTGCAATCTCCTCCTGCTGATAGACAGGTGCTATTTTGGATCCCCAACTATCTGAGCCAATCCAGAGAAAATGCCCACTTTGATTTAGTTTTTTTGCTGCTTCCAATATTCTCCTATAGGCATAAAAAGAATAAAGCATACATTTATCAAGAAACAAACAATTATGAATGTTACAACATGCCCTTACGAAGTTATATACACTCAGTAGGTCACTGTTAAACAATTAGTCAAATCCTTCTAACTTCCTGAGTCTTATCATCTCCTAAAGGAAATATAGCAGAGACTTTAACTCCAGCACATGTTAATTAGCCTTATCCTTAACCTCATTCACATCATTCTGTCTGTCACCCTTATTTTTCTCATCTCATCTCATTCAGTCCCCAGGTTTTACTCTCTATAGGCATTTCAAACTTTGAAACTAGAAGGTGGTTGTGTCTGTGCAGCATAAGGTAATCTATAATTGCAGGGGAATTTTGCAATTCCTGTGAAATCTCACAAGATTGTACACTGAACATGAAATATGTTAGAAAAAGGATGTGAGCCACAAATCTGTCCTACATACAGATGAAAAGTAATCAGCACCTGATGTCATCTTCATTGGCAAACATAATCACTGCTCGAGCATTAGGTGTTTCTAGCAGACGTTTGATAATTTTTTCAAATTCTCCAGGTCTTGGTTCACGTGGGATTTTCTGTGATTGAGCAATGCAAACACCACCTATAAAAAAAAAAAAAAAGGTGACTTGGAAATACCACTTATTTAATTAACAAACTTAATGAGGCTAACTGCTTTATAAAAGTACATGATTCAGTACAGAATGTTGTTTCTCAAAATATTTTTCATCCTTACCTATTAAAAGTAATCAGGTTTGCTTTCATTATAATATACACATTAAATTATATCAATTTATTAATAATACACAGGTTTGGGTTTTTTCCTCCAAATGTAAACATTATTTTTGTGGAAGTATGTGAGTAAACTAAGGTGTATAAGATATGTGATGAGAGTCAAGGAATGGAAGGCAGAAAGCCTATTTTGATTTATTTAACACAGCCAAAGAACAAGTTACTACATTAACAAAAAGTATGGGTATGTCTTATGCTTGAGACCACCTATTAAGTAGCAAGGTCCTTTTCCAACTTTTACGTATTAGCAGATCTCCTTAAAGTTAATTTTATTTTACAGCTAATAGCATTGCAATGATATTCTTATATATCAGCATAATGGTATATCATGAGATAAGTGTTCTTCAAGACTATTTGAGACACAGGCAAGTCCCAAAGATGCAGACCCTCAGTTGTTATTATCTCCACCGTGAAAATCAATATGACAGAAATTCCATCTCATCATCACAGGAAAAGAGAGAGAGAGAGAGAAAGAGAGAACTCTTCTTTTGGTCTCTCCTAAGGCAATGAATGAGAGGTCAAAGAGAAAGGCTTAAAAAAGATCTCTTCCTCTGGGCTGGGGTAGGAGAGGAAGAAAGGTTTCCCCAATTTCAGTAGAGCAGAGAGCTAACATACTCTAATGCTAAAAGAGAAATCAGTCTTAGCAATAAGCTTGGATTGCATTATGCAATAAACAGGCTTTTTTCTTTTTCTTTTTTGAGTAGGCTGAGAATTAAATCACCATTTATAGCATTGCTTCAGTATGCAAAGGCATTTTTACCTCCAAACAATTGATAATGCATTCTGTCACCCAACCACTATTGGACGTCATTATATGGTACTCATGGGCTCCACACTGGGAATGCACAGTCTATCCAGGAGTTACCATCTAGCCTGGGAGATAGGCACTCCAATAAATTATCATGGAATATTTAACAAATTGTAGAATTAACCGGGTATACTGTGTAATCGGAGCACAGAGGAAGGATTAACTAAAGTGCTTGACAGAGCTGAATTTTAAAGAGCAAATACTACAACCAAATAGGAGACAAAAGTGGGACACTCTTGGTAGAGGCTAAGGTAAGAAAGAACCTAGATTGAATGTGGCCTGTAGTAGAGACTGGCTAGGGTTAAGGTTGGAAGGGATGACCAGATCAGGTTGCGAATGACTTTGTTATACATGCCAAGTGTTATAGACTGAATGTTCATATATTGACACTTAATTCCCAGTGTGATGGTATTAGGAGATAAGGTTTTGGGAGATGATTAGGTCATGAAAGTGAAGCCCTCATAAATGGGATTAATGTCCCTATTGAAAGAAAACCCAGAGAGATTCCTTGCACCATCTGCTCACATGAGGACTAAGTAAAAAGACAGCGGTCTATAAATCGGGAAGCAGGCCCTCACCAGAACCTGACCATGCTGGCATACTGACCTTGGATTTTCAGCCTCCAGAACCGTAATAAACACATTTCTGTTGTTTATAAACCACACCAGAGGAAGCAGGCCCTCACCAGAACCTGACCATGCTGGCATACTGATCTTGGATTTTCAGCCTCCAGAACCGTAATAAACACATTTCTGTTGTTTATAAACCACACCAGCCCTATGGTAATTTATTATAGCAGCCAGAATGGACTAAGACATCCAATAATTTGGACTTTATCCTGAAAACAACAGGAATCCAGTAAAAGTTCATAAGCAGGGAAAATATATGATGAGCTCTATGCTTTAGGAAGAAAACTCAGGTAGCCATACAAAGAAGAAATGTCTGGTAACCAGACGGTAGGTCTTCAGTGTGCTGTGATCAGACAACATACATGGCAGTAATGTCTAACTGGTGCTAGAGTACTAAAGGTTTATTTTTCTTATAAGTTGGAGACACTCAAAATTATCCCTGCAGTAGCAATACTCTTACTAACCTTACAATATGCTTTTACTAGGAAAAATTGCCCATAATCCACAGATAGAGCCATTCTGCTGCCTGTAGTTATCTAGTCTACTGATATAGCATTAATAATTGTGATGATTGATTCATTCCTTCAGTAAATACTTAGTGCCAGTATATGCCAGATGCTATGTGGGGGCTATGGACACCATGGTGAATAAAACAGACATGCTCTCTCTTTACTGAGTTTAGAAATGTTGTGGGTGAACCAGGTTTAATGCAAAAATAATAGTAATAATAATAATAATAAGTACATAATTATAAATTACGACAAGTCCTATGAGAAAGAACAAGGGAATTTAATTTAGATTGGGGAATGTTCAGAAAAAGCCACCCTAAGGTGACATAATTTAGTTGAGGTCAAAAGGATGAAGGAATGGGAGAGAAGAGCATGGGAAAGGGCAGGAAAGAGCCAGAGGAGTCAGTGAGAGGAGAGAAGTGTGAGATGGGAGACAGGCCATATCATGCATGGCTTTGCAGGGCCTGAGGAAGACTATGAACGGCTAAAGTGCTTAACTTCTTCACTAAGTGTTTCTAATTTTTTAGTCTTTCAGGGGCCCATAGGAATATGTTTCACATGTGAACACTGCATTCCATGAAAGGAAAAAGAATGAGGATGGCTGATGTAGAGGGTAACCTGAAGTGGAAGGAAGGAGGCAATGAACCCAGTTAGGAGGTTACTAGAACAGGACACGGGACATGACCAAGGCCACATTCCTGGTGCTGGGGAAGAGGTTAGGAGGTTACTAGAACAGGACACGGGACATGACCAAGGCCACATTCCTGGTGCTGGGGAGGAGCAGATGGAACGAAGTGGAACTTCTGAGTTAGAATCAATGGGGCTTTGGACAGATTTAATGTGAGGAGTGAAGCAATGGGAGCCACTAAGTATGACTCTAAGAGTTTGGCCTCTGTGACCAGTTATGTGAATACAACATTCAACAAGTAGGAAATACAGGAGGGTGAGCAGGAATGTGGAAAAGGAAAGAATGATTTCAATTCAAGACAGGTTGTCTTCAAAGCACTCGTGGAGCATCAAATGGACAAGGCGAGTCTGTAGCTAAAAAGGGAAATGTAATTACAATTTTGAAAGATTCTGATAACATTACGTAGTTGAAATGTGGGAGTAAAAAAATCATTCAGACAGAATATTTAAGTCAACAATGAGTAAGGGTGAATGATGGAGCTCTGAAAAAATCACCAGCTTTGGAGAGAGAGCTGATGAATAAGACTGGGAAGGAGGGATCCCATGTTTTGAGAAAACTTTTGGAACAAAGAGGTCAGTTGAAGACTATGTGTAATTTCTTTAAAAATCAAACAAACTAACCGGGGTGAGTGAAAACATTAGGTAAGTACAGAAATGCAACACCAATACTATAACAGTCTCTAAAGAGCAGTAGCTGTTTCAAAATATGACTGCCCTTTTAATTAAATTGCCATGATTACTTAAGCCTCTCATTAAAGACATGTTGTATCATGAGTATCATTCTGAGACTACTACTAACTTCATAGCCAGAAGAAATGAAGGCCAGGAAAATTTTATTACGACTATATCAGATGAAACAAACAGGCAACCCAGACATATGGTTTAGTTTGAATTCATTGATTTATTCATTCACAAAGGACCTATTGAACATTTTTGTTCATAAAAAGTTGAGTCAGTTGGATTATATTTTAACATAGTCTAAATCTCTTTCACTCTTTTCTGTTCTTTTACCTCACCTTATATTTGTCAGCATGGTCAATTTGTATTTTCATGGAAAGAGGCACTGAGCAATTAATTTATTTCAGCTGAACAAATACTTGTGGAGAATCTGTCCACATGGCATTTTGCTGTTTGGTACCTTATGGATATTTTATTAAATTATGGACTGATTACTTCTCAAGTGACTGGAGTTAGAACATTAGAATTCTTTGCTTAGCCCTGAAACTCATTCACACTGCATATCTGTACAATAGTCAAAATGTCAGACAATTAATCCATTCATTTGCACTCATGGTCTACTATGTTTCAGGAGCTACAGACATTCAGAGATTGCCTGTCCTCAGCAATCTCATAATATAACTGAATGACAAGATGTGCACATAAAAGCCAGATAAGAGTATAAAATTAGATAACAACGAAAGATAACAGCATAATGTATATAAAAATGCAGTAATAAATGTCAAATGAGTCATCCCCCAAAATAGTTCTATGACTTCCTAAGAAGGGGTCATTACATACTGTTGGAGTTTGGTTTAAAACCCAGTAAAATTCAAACATTTAGTCCTAATCCAAGATAGGTTTTCCATATAATCACCAACATCTGTCTTTCTTTTTCTTTTTTATGAATTGAATTAATTTATTTTGAATTGACACATAGTAATTGTACATATTTATTGTTTGACGTTTTAAAGAGACTCTGTTTTGATCTCAACTCCTAAGGTGGGTGGAAGAAACAGAAGTTGTTCTTTTTCTTTTTTATGAATTGAATTAATTTATTTTGAATTGACACATAGTAATTGTACATATTTATTGTTTAACGTTTTAAAGAGACTCTGTTTTGATCTCAACTCCTAAGGTGGGTGGAAGAAACAGAAGTTGCTCTTCACCAGAGAATTTTTCCACTGCATCTATTTTTCTGTATTTCACTCTGAAAGACTACTGGTGCTATGCAATTTAAGGGACACTAACTTTCCTATTCTACAGGTATGCCAGTTCCACAAGAAACAATTTTTAAACCTGAGTGCTTAGGGGAAAAAAAAAAATGTTGCATTGAGGAATTTATAATCTGCTGTTTCCTAGAATTTGCTTTCTTGTTTCCTTGCAGTCTCTGTAATTTTCCTCCTTCTGATTATTTGGTGGTACTTAAAAAATCATTTGTTGAACTGAACACTTCATGTAC